GGTCCCCAGTGGAAAAGATGAGTTTAAGATGAGTTTAGGGGGATCTTCACGACAATTCTCTCACTTGCTTGGGGTAATCCCCGTTGGGGTGGGTCGACAAGTCCACAGATCGACCTTGGTATGCCTGTGCAGCACATGACAACGACGGCAACGCACATGTAGGAAAACACTAAAGCCGATACTGTATTGATTAGCATAGGGTTTTGGGGTATACTATATAGTCTTATAGTACTATAGTAGAATAAGCAACCCTGAAGAATGAAACTGGAAACTTCTCAGGCTTCTATATTGCAGACGTGGCAAGATGAGGACAGCCCCCATTCAGGCACGGGGCCCTGTAGAGCGCACCGGAGCAGAGAAGGAACGGTAAAAGGAGCTCAGCAGGTTTCTTCTCGCACACTCGCGCAGGCAGGCATTAGCAGGTTTAGGGTTTACAGTGAATAAGCAAAAAAATGAAGCTCGCTCAAAAGGTTCATTGGCATGTAGGTCGAAGAGTCAAGAGACAAAAGTGTCGGCTTTTCTCTGGGTTACGGTTCAGCACCTGTGGACATGTGCTGCAATATGAGTTCGCTTACCAGTCCCAAGAATAAGAAGACAGCAGCGAATGCATGCCAGCAAAAAACACCGGAAAAGCACCTCGAACCCGTCAGTCGTGTCCCCCAACTCAACATCGAGATTCACGCTCGTGCGGTGCAGTGTCGCGCGAGCAGTCGGGCTCAGCTTTGCTTTCGCATTTCGGTGCTTCTAGATCTTCAGATTTTAGAGCAGGGGTGCACGGAAGCTGCCAGTTGAAGTACTTATAAGCAGACCGAACAAGATACGCTGCACCATTTTCTCGCATGCGCAGCTCGGCAAACTGATGTGGGTATCGATTTCGTCGTGATTTCGTGTGGTTAATGCACCGCACGCTTGATGAAGAGGGCCCTGGCGCGAGGGTACACCTTAGGTGGCCCCAGCGGCAATGACATGACTGTCTTGCGACAAAGACTTCAGTGAGTCCGGTATTTTTTGTACAGAAACCAAGGGAAAAGCTAAGTCAATGTGTAGACCTAGTATGGCGAGCCATTAGCTCGCCGTGACTCCCAGCACGTCCGGCAACTTCCTGCAAAGCCAAGAGTGTCATTCCCGTCTGGGCATGGCCACTGTGGTGCTTGCGGCGGTTCTGGCGATCCCGATGTCTCGCTTCACCGTAAACCGACCTGAATAGGTCTCCCCGACCACCCGTTACTCCCAAGGACCTCTCCTTTGCGACCTGCTCGGAAATCTTGGGTGCTACATGTGCCACATCCGGCCCCGGGCCGGTTAAGGCTCGCTTCAGCCGATTCTCCAAGTCCACCATCCCACATTCGACCTTTGCCACAACACCCTCTAAGAGCCTGATAAGCTCCGCGTTCTCCGCATCTGCGGAGACCATAGGAGTCGGATCAAGGTAGGTGCCCATCATCTTGGGCTTGATGCCACCACTGGGCTGCTCGATTCCTGCTCCATCTGCACCCAAATGGCTGGACTGAGAGGCTTGGCTTTCTCTGGAAGTCTGCCGGGGCGGGAAGGCGCAAAGCCGGGTAGCTGTAGACATGCCTGCTGACCTTAAGGACGAAATGAACTTCAAAAGGTTTTCAGGTTCATATACCATATAGGGGTTCTTAGTATGTATAGGAACCCTACTTTTAAGGGTCATTTGGTCCCCAAGGGACAGTGTGTCCATGCGTTGGGAGAGGTCCCTGAAGCAGTGCTGCGAGAGGTTGTACAAATCTTCCTGGAGCTGCATCGTCTGCAGCATGTTGTACTTGATAAACCTGCAGGCTCTGGGGCTTTAGGGTTTATAATATAGGGGCCCGGCCTTCATGATTAGAATAGGGTTCTGGGGTATATTCTACTATACATGATAGTTAGGAACCCCCAAAATAGTGTTGGAGTCAACTTTTGTGGCTCTCTCCTGCGGCCTGACAAGACTACCGGCAATAACATGGAATCGTCCAGCGGCAGCTCGTGTTTCCGACAATGTGCTACGAGGCGCCTAGATTACACCTCGCGTGACACCTGTCCTACCTCCTCCAAGGTCCGATTCAAGGCTCTGAAAACTTGACAAAACCTTGGGGACCAAATGACCCTTATAAGTAGGGGCCCTGTACCCTCATACTATGAACCCCTATATGGTATATGAACCTGAAAACCTCTTGAGGTTCATTTCGTCCTTAAGGAAGAGTGTGCCCCGAACAATGCAAAACCAAGAGAGACAGATCGACCTGTACCGGCGGAAGCCATGGAACGGCTCGTAACGACCCTCGGAAACCACACGAGGCCCCATGTTCGGGCGAACGCGTATTCAATCTAGAATCTGGGCAAACTTGCATGCCAATTTCATTATGTTACCCTTTGCTAGCAAAAGCCATGGGCGGTACAATCCTGACCTCGGTGCCGTCTTGGAGTCGTGGACCCATCGACTCAGAGGTCCGATGAACTCTGAAGCTTCGATCGTGCCACTGTTGTCCACGTCAATCATGCAAAACCTGGGGGGGGAGGGGTAGTAAGGGTGTTCATGGTTTAGGGTATATTTCCCGCTTGAGGGGTCAAAGGACCTCAGCGCATCACGATAGAGTTCGTCCAGTTCGCTCCCAGCGTCTGGCTGGTAGGGCTGCAGTGTGGTCCAGAATCCGTGCAATCAGCAGGGCAGGATCTTTTGAAACACTCTTTCATACACAACTATGCACAGGTCTCCTAGGGGTGCTCTGTTTCGGAACCCTGTATGAACCTAGCTTTAAAGCCTTAGAAGAATGCTACGCTTGCATCGTCTGTCATGTAGCTCGGTTGCATGCAACGCAGTCGATGTGTATATGTCTGCAAGAACCCACACAAATACACCCATGCAATTATGTGCGTCCCGGGCGTGTTCCACACAGGTAACATTGAACATGCAGCCTGGAGTGTGCGCATAAGCCGAGCAGAAATACACCTTTCTGCAAGTGCTCATAAATAGCTCTAGCAATGGATGCCTATGCACTTGCAGCCTGAGCTGCCTCCCACTCAATGCTGATACCCGCAGTTAAGGGGTACATGTCAGACTTATATGGCCTAAATTAAACTCAAAACGTCCTAACAAGACCCACATGCACACAGGCCATGACTCTCATGTGCAAACTACTTTGAAAGGACGTGGCGGCCCAAACGATTCGGCAAATGCATATTGCATGTCAAGCAGCAACTGTTTCATGTCATTTTCGTCAATGTCCATCACCTTGTCTGCTGCAGTCGCACTCGAAACACTTTCTGGACATGAGTATACCGCGAAACTGCACACCGACTATAATTACAAACCAATTCGCACCAGGGCCACTAGCAGCGCATTGGCTAACAAACAGGCACCGATAACGACATATTGCGTTGTCAATGGCGGACCTCGATTTATTAGACACAAGCGCGTGCATGACTCTATTCCCACTCTCGATGTTTCTTTCGCTGTCCCTTCTGCAGTCAGGTTCACACGCATGCATGCACGCAGGCACGCATGCACACGCACCCACATATACACAAACACACACACACACAAACACCCCACACACACACACACACGCACAGACAAGCAAGCAAGCAAGCAAGCAAGCAAGCAAACGGGCGACACACACACACACAAAGAGACACAAACAAACTAAAAAAATGCACCTCTCTCTTTGATTACATGACGAGCTTGAGCCAAGGATCTCGAAGCCTGCTCTGCAAAACGGGGTCTCGCCTGGCTCCGGTGATCAACTCCTCCAAGGAAAGCTGTCCACTGCCGGCCTTGTCCTTTCGTATTTGGGGTTTAGGGTTCAGGGTTTAGGGGTGTATAGGGTTTCGGGCTTCAAGCGTTTCTGGATTAGGCTCCGGACGCAGCAGCTTCAAACACATATGGAAGACCGGAAATGTCTGACATGGCTGATATACGGGCCTTATACAGTACTTTTGTTTTAAGGCATACTCTAGTAACTCCTGCATATGTAAGAAAGAAGCCGAAGGAATACCACCTGCGATGAGCAACTTGCAACCGAGCAGTTTTGAAACCTGTTCGGCTTTTCCATAAAAATTTTAACACTGGCGGCTGCTCTAAAATACCAGCGCGACGATAGCATGGCATGTCCTAAACGAAGCACTGACAGCATGAAGGAGCCAGGCATCGATCCGCTGAAAGAGTTGCTTCAACTCCTCCTTATTCATCTCCAGGTCATGTTCCATCTCTTCGGCCAAGTTCTCTACATCTTTAAGCCGGGCCTCAGCGAATGTATCCACCACGACCGCAATGATGATGTTCAGAACACCGAAGACCAGGGTCAGCAAGGAGCCAACGAAAATCAGCGCAGTCCAGGGGCTGTGCTCGATTATTGGCACTGCCACCTCACCCCAGCCATCTCCAGCGATCACCGTCTTGAAGAGGAGAAGGTTTGCTGACATGACAGATCGAGTTGACTCCCGGCAGTAAGCGCAGCTTGCAAAGGTATCAGGCATGCCCTCAATGATGGGATGCACAATCTCGACCAAAAGCATAGCCCATATTGTCATGATGACGAAACAGAGGAGGAAAGACCATGCCAAAGTGCGGAAGCAGGTTGCCATCATTGTGACCAGTTTCTGAAGCTCACGCAAGGCACGGATTCTCCGAAAGAGCCGCAGCAAGCGGCATATCCGCGCCAGTCGCAGTGCGCGCATTACGTGCAGCCTTGCTAGCCAGTCTGTGGGACCCAATGCATTTAGCACAATCTCGAAGTATCCGCACAAAATGACGATGATGTCGAGCAGCACAATCCAGTCGGTCAGCATCTTAACAGCACCCCTGCCGCAAAACACAATTACCTGGGTCCCTGTTGGGGCTATATTAAAAATTATCATTTTTAATCCTTATTAGGTTTCATTATAACAAAAATGTAAAATTGTATCCAACAAGGACCCAATTACGAGCTCAGCTGTGTATAAGGCCAGACTGAGGTCCAGAAACAACAAAGCGCCTTGGCAACTCGGATTTACACGTTGGTGAGGGGAAAGAACGGTTCATGTTCATTGAGGTTGAGTAGGGAAGAAAAACCGTGAAGATTAACTATAACTATGAATGCTATTTTCATATGTTTGTTCTCAAGGTCCGGCAAGGATCCGTCAGCTGGAGGGGCGTCTGCAGCTCTGGCATCAATGTCAACCCATGTGCAGATTGCGTCTACGACGATGACGCCCGCCATGAAATTAGCAAGTCCCGGACTGTCCGCAAGCCAGGCTAAAAATCTCTGGGCCCTTGCTCGGACAGTGAAGGTCAGCGACTTTTGCAGGGACACCTCCTTTCCCGTGATGAACTCTCCTGCGACAACAGAGGTTCGCCGTCCACGTTCACCAGCTGGCTGCTTGGAGTCTGCAGTCCCATCCTCCTTATCCGAGAAAGTCGTTTGGATCATTTTGAAGTCCTGCGCGTCATCTGCTGCAGCCATCGCGGCCGATCTGAATAACACAAAGCTGTACTGAGCAGCTAGAACGTTGTTGACTTTTCTGCTGCTTGCCGCAGCTCAGGTTCGGGGGTAGAGGACTCATGATGAATGACAAAGCTGCTACCAAAACACACACACACACGAGGAATGATGCTTGAAGAGAATTATCAAGGAGGCATCTGGGATTCAAGGCAGTGAGGGCCCTGATGCTAGACAGTAGTCGGAAAGTAATGAACTTCTGATTTGAGGACACTTAACATTACGAAGAGTAGGCTCGGAGAACTCGCCGAAATCCAACACAAGAAAGGGTGTATCTTCAGCCATGGGATCAGCTTTCAGGAGGGTGATCATGTGGCTGTGCACCCTCTGCACGATAGCGGCATCCGTGAAGCGCAACACGTCCAAACGCGCTGCCGGTGACAACCCGGACCTTAGAAAGTGGCAACATGCACCATGCACCTGAGTCTATATATTGTGTGCGTAATATGTATACGTGCATCTATATATATATATATACATACATACATCCATCCATACATACATACATACATACATACATCATACATGCATGCATGCATACATACATACATATACATATACATATAGGGAGCGAGAGAGAGATAGATGGGTTCTAGAAGTCCAGGGCTTCAGGACATCAGGCGCGCGATTGTCGCATGTCACTGAGACACCGTGCTACTAAGAGTAGTGCTACCACCACCACGACCACGCTTCTTCTTCTGACGACGACGACGACGACTACTACTACTACTCCTGCTGCTGCTGCTGCTCCTGCTCCCTGCTCCCTGCTCCTGGTCCTGGTCCTGGTCCTGGTCCTGCTGCTGCTACGACTGCTATTGCTGCCATTATAGCTACTAGTTACCAGCATTTCAAATTAGGCGTCTACTACAGCAACTCCTCGATCGGCAATCATGGGCAAAAACATCTTCATCAGTGCCCGTCACCACCCTACGTTACTTGTAATCCAAAGCTTCACTTCTACGTGGCTTTGCCCTGCTGAGGATCCAGATCATCGGCATTGCCGTCTTCAATATTGCCGCCGGCACCACCATGTCAGAATAATAAACGTAAACCATCCTCACAAGACTAAACTGTACATGCGCACGAAGACTCGATCTCACAAGGTCTACAAATAGTCACTCTGGCTTCGCGCCGGAAATGGATAGTCTATTGATGTCCACTTCCTCTCTGTACCAACACTCCACGCTTCCAGCCCCTGCCCCACGCATCCTTTGTGCCGCCCGATCGCCAGAAACGTCGAAGGGCAGATCTGTCGACCTGCGAAGAACACAATGAAACACCAACGATTTTGCTCGTTCGCTTTTAGGTGACGTCTAGGGTGTCGGTATTCGGCCGTTTTGTGTGTTTCGAATGCCCTCCCACTCCCGCAGAACCCTACAACCCATGTTGAAACAAACATGTGCAGAAGCCTCCAAGCGACGAGCTCTAAGGTATCTCTTCCTCCGTCCTCCCCAACTAGTTTCGGTTTGTGTCGGGCTCCAAAGCGGGTTTGCGATGCTGTGTCGCGAAGGTTTCAAAGTTGCATTTGCATGGCTGTTTCAACAATACTTTTA